GCATCCTAATACTTGACCACAAGAGCAGCGCGACTCGTACGCGTGATGCAGCTAGGCCGCTCGAAGCCATCGGCCATGTAGCCGCAAATAAGAAGAGGCGAGCACCACAGGCGAGCGTGCGGTCAGCCGTTTGGTCGTCGGGTTCGAATGAGGCAATGACGGATGATCCGTGTAGCTAGCTGTGAACGACTCCAATGACGATGGACCAGCAGTTGACCTTGAAAGGAGATGCTTCATAAACCTCGGTTGACACCCGCCCAGTCGTGCCTGGCGGCCGTTCCCTGGTCGCGCCTCGTCGCTTCGAATATGCGTACTGCAGAAGTCGTCGATGTCGCCGTTGCTTGGCGGCTCTGTAAGATCTGCCACTCCTCGCGCAGCTAACTGTGCTAAGGCTGCAAGTCTTTTCGTGCGAGGTCTGGAGTCGCATCACGGCGCATTGGAGCCCAGTCTCGCTTCGTGTTGGCACATTGCTGCGCAGATCGAAACTTTGTGCATTGTGATTGGCCCATAATGCAGCTTAACAGGCATGTGATTGGGTAAAATTCATTTTGAGCCAAATCCCAACCGTCAAAACCATGCTCAGCGCGAAGCGCAAGGCGCGCTTCTTCGACAAGCTCAACGAGATCTACGTCCCAACCAAGCGGCCGGCGCCAGAGACGGATGCGCCGCCAGTCCTCGCTTCGTCTGCTGGCGACGCCTCGGATCGACGACAGTCGTTTCCGCCCATGGCAGTGACCAAAGCGCTCGTCGACAAGGCCCACCGGCGGCAGTCGGTGCCACTCGCAGGACCGCTCCAAGGCCTGCGACTGCTCATCGTAGCATTGGGGTCCGACATGAGTCGGCGGCGCCTCGACATTTGGACGACGCAGGTGGCCAAGGCCGGCGGACAGCTCGTCACGACATGCGACGACAGCGAGAATACGATCGTCGTGGCGAGCCTCAGCCTGTCACGCGAGCGGCTCTGCAGCTACTGCCACGTGCCAGAGCTTTCTCCAAGTCTGCGCGTCGTTTCGCCTGACTGGCTCGTATACGTCATCCAGCATCGCACTTTGCCGCCCGATGGGATGTTTGCTTGGACCGACGTTGCGCCGACGACTGCGCCCACCGAGGATGCGCCGCCCCAGCGAGCCTTTTACGAGAGCTCCCCCAGCAACACGCAAGAGAGCCCTGCGCCACTACCTACAGCACAGTCCGCCATCGCTTCTGGGTCGCCATTGCGGGCGCTCGACGAAGACATGGCGTACCGCAAGCGTGTCTTTTACGAGATCAACCCGAGCATGGTCGTGGTCCACGCAGAAGAAGCAGCTGATCCACGCCAGATCAAGGCCACGAGCTTTGTGTGCGCGACAACGTCTGGTAACTCCTGGCGTCATTTGGGTCAGCCTTCGACCCCGACTCTAGTGCAATCGATCAACCACAATGCACACTTGACGTCCGTGCTGGACGAGCTCATCGAGTACCTTGCCGTCGAGAAGGACGAGTGGCGCGAGAACAGCTACAAGGTATGTTTCTGGCTATTTTCAAGTTGAACTATCGCGCTTGTACTTGCAGCGCATGGTGTCGATCCTCAAGCAGCTGCCGGCCAAGGTCACGTCGACGGCGGCGCTGCGACCCCAGTACGGGTTGAACGCGACGGGCATCGCCAAGATCCGCGAGATCCTCGAGACAGGCACGCTGCGCAAGCTCGAGGCCAAGAAGGCCGACGCCCGGCTCCAAGTCCTCCGCACCTTTGCCAACATATGGGGCGTCGGGCCATCGACCGCAACATCGCTCTACAGGTACTTAGTATGCTCTCGCCGATCGATTCGCTTTGATTGTGACGTTGTAGCCAAGGGTTTCGGTCCCTCGATGCGCTGCGGATGCGCCAAGACGAGGTTCTCAACCCGCAACAGCGCATCGGTCTGGAGCACTATGCCGATTTCCTGGTGAAAATCCCGAGGTGCAAAGAGCAAGTTTTGTTACGAGCTATGCAAGTATGTATCTGGACGCAGGGCGGAGGTTGAAGATATCCAAGCTATTGTCAAGGCGACGGTCGCCATGATTCACCCGACTGCCGTCTCTGTGACATGCGGGAGCTACCGCCGCGGCAAGTTGCAGTCGGGCGACGTCGACATCCTCATCACGGACCCGCTGGCCGACGAGTGCGTGCTCTTGCCAGGTAATTTCTGTCGAATTTCTGTCGAGATTTTGATTTGGCGCCAAATTTTGATGCCAAGATCTCCTCCGCGAATTGCACAAGCGCGCGTTTCTCACGGGTGCGTCGATGACGTCAGCGGGCTTGGTCAGATTGTCTGCATACACGATGCTAGACGACCTCACGACCGTGACGGAGCACCACATTGGCGGCTGCGACTCGTACATGGGCGTCTGCCGCGTCGACGAGGTGACAGACTACGAACCAGACGACCGGCTCGATCGGATCGCTGTGTCTAGAGCCGGCCTTTTCGGCGCATTGACCTCAAGGTGTACCCGCGCCACCTCTTTGGCTTTGCACAGTTGTACTTTACGGGCAGCGACCACTTTAACCGCAGCATGCGCGCGTTTGCCAAGCAAAAGGTCCGAGCCAGATACGACCAGTCGGCCGGTACGACCAGCACGATAGGGTTATAGCTTGACCGACCGCGGGCTCACCAAAGTGGCGCGCGCTAAAGGCGCCAAGAAGCTCAAGCAAGCGCCGGGTCTCATCTGCCCGGATGAAAAAGACGTCTTCATCGCATTGCAGCTTCCGTACAAGGTACGCGTCGCATCAACGAATTCATTGGCGGCGACTGCTTGTAGCGGCCGGAAGAACGCAATTGCATGGCCTGAGGCTGCCCCATCGCGCTCAGGAGCTCCAGGATGCCATTAACTCGCAGATGCTATTCCTCTATAAACATGGGCGTGGAGGATGCGGACCGTTCGCGCAAGACAGCTCCTGCTGGTGTTCGCTGTTGTTACGTGGTTGAAGCGGCTTGATGGAGACGCCAGCGACGGTGCCAGAGACATCGATGTGCTGGTCTCTGGTCAGTGCACGAGTAGCTTGCGCCGCCCTTCTTCCTCCGCCACCTCGTTGCCGTCGTCGTCTCCTTGCGGCACCCAAATCGACCTGCACCTCCTGCTGGTCAGGATTTGCCGAACGGAAAATACAGTGTCACGTCACAACGGCGGCGCCAGATGCTGCGGCTCGGCGAATGAGCATCGCAGGTGGCCGGTCCGGCTCTGCGTCGGCTTCTTCTTTGCATCCGCTTCACTTTTGCTCCTGCCCATCCATGCACGAGGTGTACGAGCTCGCGTACGACGCCCGCGTCCTCGACGTGCGCTGGGTCCCGAACGCCGCCAGCGCGCTCTGCTGCCTCTGCTACGAGTCGTTTGGCCTCTTTGGGAAGCGCCGCCACCACTGCCGGCTCTGCGGGCAGCTCGTCTGCAGCGCGTGCTCGCCTCACAAATCGATTCTCCTTGGCTCGACGCGCCAAGCGTCGCGCACATGCACAGACTGCGCCTCGCTGTTGACGTGCCTCGCGGCGCAGGGCGACCCGCGCGTCAAGCGCCGCATCGCTTCGCCGTTCCAGCGCAAGACGCGCGCACCCGCGACCTCGTCGCTGCCGACACGCAGCTCGCACGAGCCGCCATCCGCCGAGCTGCGGCGCGTGCTGCTCCTGAATACGAAGGCCGGCGCGACGTACTATGTCGTCCACACGCGGTGGTACGAGGCGTGGCTCGCGTACGCCGATGGCGCGACCACGAGTCCGCCCGGTCCGATCTCGAACCACGCGCTGCTCTACTTTTACAACGGACAACTGTACCCAAAACAGACGCTCTTGTATGGCAACGACTACCGCTTCCTGCACGAAGACGCGTGGCGGACGCTGTGGAGCGTCTACGGCGGCGGCCCGTCGATCGCCGTGCGCTGGGACGGCGACGCGCCGCCGCCGAGCGCCGACTGGCGCGTCTTCTTCCCGAGCATCGGTGCCAAGGCGTCGCCCAAGGTCGTCAAGCCCGTCTCTCTCCAGCGCATTCGCGCCAGCAGCACGACGCTCTCCGTGAGCTACCCGCGCGGCGACGTCCACGCTGTCGTGAACGTCACTGCGTCGGCCTTGTCGGCGGTTGACGAGCAGCCGTGCAGTCCGATCCTCCTTCTCGCACCGCGCCCGTCCTTGCCGCCGGCGCAAGAGCGTCAGCGGGCGGCCAAAGAAGCCGTCGCAGCGTTCGCCAAGGCCGCGGGCCAAGCGCGGCGCGAAGCCGAAAACGTCACGTACCGCAAGTCGCTCGTCTCGCTCGCGGACGTTGACATGCGCATTAGCTCGAGCTTTTGCTCGCCAACACAAGCCACTTCGACGCTACGGACGACGATCGTCTAGCTCTGTATTTGATTATAGAAAAAAGACTATTTAACAGGATCATCTTGGTGTATGTCTGGCGACCAGTCATTGCACATCCCACGCTCCAAGCCTTGATGAGAGAGGCGAGTGGGACCGCCCAACCTTTCGCAAGCATCCAGGAGCTGCGAGCGTGGCTGCGTCGCCTGCAACGTGCGCAGAATCTTCGGCCCCGTGGCGTCCATGTGGCTGCAGCGCGCGGCTTCTCGCATCGCAGCCGGCATTGGGTGAGTTTAGCGTTGCTCGTCGACAACACGGCCGTCGACGACCGCCCTCGTTCCTGACTCCAGCTCGTACAGCTCATTATACGTCTATGTCTATTAGTGTACTTTTGTGTTACCTAGTCCTTGGCGTCTAATCTCGATCGAGCCGATTGTTCGGTCGCACCAGCTGCGCGTCGTCGTGGCAAGCTCCGCCACAAGCTTCAACCGTGTCAAATCTCCTTAGTTGCAATCGCGGCGCACCTTTTATAAAAGAAATTTGCTTAAAGGTGTTGTTTAAAGGGAAAATTCTATTTTTATATGAATTTAAACTATTCAAAAAGAAGATATTCTTGAAAAACGTTGACAACCTTGGTTTTAGGGAGTCACTCGCATTGGCGAGTGAGCGTTGGGTAATTAACTACTTGCGATCGTGTCGTGTGCGATCTCGTGCGAGAAACTAACCAAACGCGACTCCATTTTGCATTGACGACGATGGCTGCAACCGTCGAGAGCTTGCGCCAGCTCATGTGGGGCGCGTCGGCCGTCTACGAGAGCGAGGAAGAGCTCCGCTGGCAGAGCGAAGGTAATTGGCCTCGTCCTGTCTACCGCCATTGCAGCGAGCGATGTAGACTTCCGCTTCTGCCCGCTGGATGGGCCTGGCCCGACGTGGGGCCTCCAGCAAACCCATGGTGGTCCTTGCGGCGTCTTCGCCCCGGTCCAGGTATCATCGCCATCCTACATGACGAACCATGCTTCAGGCTCTGGCCGTAGGCTCGAATGCTCGTGCATCTCTTGGGCTCACTGGACACGCCGTTGACGGGCGACGCCCGCGAGCGCTTGCTGGCGCTGGTCTTGGCCGCGATGCTGCTCTCGACGACCGAGTCCGAGACCGACCCGATTTGGCTTATCGACGCTGCGCACGTGTCGGCGACCGCGTCGGGGCCCGTGCGCCCGATTGCTGTCGCGCGCGCCGACCTCGAGGTGTCCGTGCGCGACTTCTTCGTCGCTGGGAAGGGCGTCTTGAGCTTTGTGTACAGCATGGTGCTCACACGTGGCGTCGACCGTCTCCGTGGCGACATGGACGACATGGAGAGCAGTCTGACGATGGGCGAGTTTGGCCACGGAACGCAGGAGCTGCTCAACCTCATGCTCACGGGCAAGGGCACGTCCAACGTGTTTGACGACAGCGTGCCCATGGGCGATACGGGTCTCGTGCTGCGGGGTGTCTATCATCGCCCGACCGTCGGGTACCTCACGCAGCTCGAGGCGCTGCGCTACTGCGCCGTGGGCAGCTACTTCAAGACGCCGTCGTCGCCCATTTGGGTGCTCGGGAGCGCGAGCCACTTTACAGTGCTATTTTCACCCAACCTCTCGCTCGTGACAGAGTCGGACTCGGACGCGCTCTTGTCCAAAGTCACGCGCGCCTTCAAGCAGCACGATACGATGGAGAGCGGGTTCATCGCCCTCGACGCGCTCCTGCCCTGCCTCCGGTCGCTCGGCGTCGACGAAGGGATTCTCGGCAACCAGTACCAAATGGGCCGCCTCTACGCCAAGCTCGAGGTTTCCTTCCGCTGAATCGACGTCGATCATCCCCGAGGCCTCTGCGTAGGTGCCAGGCGCCGGCATTGTGCTCTGGGACGACTTTTGGCGCGTCATTTCGCTCTTGCTCGAGACCAACGACCTCCAAACCGCCATCACGGGCAAGGTCGCGACGCGCCAGCGCTCCGACTCGGACCTCGCGCGGGAGCTCCAGGCCCAGTTTGACAGCGGTGCCTCCGCGCCAGTCGAGAGTGCACCGCCGGCCGAGCGCCTCCCGATGGCCCCCGACGTCGAGGACAAGGTGGTCTTCTACCACTACAACGGTCTCGTCGACAGTCGGACGTCGACGCCGCGCCTCGTGCGCTTCGACGCCATCGTGCCAAGCCGCAACGTTGTGGGCTACACCGTGCCGCTGACCGACTCGGGCGCGGCATCGGGCGGCTCGAGCTGCCCGATCGAAGACGTGCTCACGACCAAGTGGCCAGGTATCCAAGTGCACTGGGGCGGGCAGGTCCCGCCACGCCTCGATTAGTGTATACTACTAGTGCAAATTAGTCGTCGTCGTCGTCCGCAGCCTTGGCGTCGTCGTCTTCGGGCTCGTACTTGCGAAGGCGGCGGCGCAGCTGCTGAATCAAATCGTTCTTGTCCTTGACCATCTTTTTGAGCTGCAGGAACGGCTTGGTCTGCGAAATATGGTCCTCTTCCTCCTTCGCACTCGCCTCGTACTCGGCGAGCGCTTGGCGCGCTGCACGCAGCTCCTTCTCGAGCGCATCGACGTGGCGGCCACTCGACGTCGTCTGCGCGTGCCGGAGCTCGTCCATGTCGTCCTGGAGCCGGCTCTTGTCCTTGAGCGCGCGCGAGCAGTCGACTTGGAGCTGCTCGAGGCGGCCGCGCAGCGACTGGGTTTCTTTCTCGAGCGATTCAAACTCTTCGTCGGACCGGCCGGCCTTGGGCAGCACGGCCTTCTTGGCGCGCTTCTCGTCGCCCGCCCACTCGGCCACCGAGAGGCGCTCGACCTTTTCGAGCATGTCTAGTCGCCTGCTCAGTGCTGCCATGCGGTTGCATACCTACGTACCCTTGTCTTCGACGATGCCTGTGTCGAGCGCGAGGCGCAGTTGGTTCTCTTCCGCTTCCGCAAACACTTGGCGCAAGAGCAGCGCCGTCATGTTGATCGTATCCTGGAGCTCGCTGCGGGCGTTGCCCTATGTGCATCAAAGCTCCAGCCATGGTCTTGTGACGTCGAGTGGACCTTGATGGCAAAGCAGAGCGACGTGAGCACGTCCGTCACGTCCTTCTGGCTGTACATGTCGTCGGACGAGAGGCTACGTCGACAGATGTCGCCATGCCCACGGACGAGCACGACGCGTACCGGTCCGAGCGCGTGTCGTCAAACTCGGCCTCAATGTTCTCGAGGTGCGTCGCGAGGCGCGACCGGAAGAACTTGAGAAACTTGGAGATCTAGGCGCGCATCAGAGACGCACCAGCAGACTCGGCGGCGACCTCTGCCTGGTGGTGCGCGCTCATGCCACCCTTGGTGCTCATCGTCGGCCGCTCGATGGGACGGATTCTGCGCCTCTTCAAGATCTCGCTCGGGTCGTGCCAAAAAAGGGTACCATCAGGATCCTCCCGAGATCGATCCTCGATAGCTAACGACACTCAATGGATTACTATATGCGTGAGATAGTTGGATAGAATAGATAGTTGGATAGGATAGGTAGTTGGATAGGATAGGTAGTTGGATAGGATAGATCCACCCGACCACGAGATGGATTCATCCGAGTGTACGGACGGGATCGATCGAGACGAGCTGCCGTGAGATGGACAAAGGGCTCGATCAGTTAGTCGAAGACACTCGAAAACATAGTAGAAGCATCCACTGAGCGACTATTGGGCCTTGTCGGTTTCAAAGAGGACAGAGTTGTAGTCGACTATAAATACGTGGAGCAATGGACGCCGACGCCGTCCGCCGGCCCGTCTTGCGACGCGGGTCGATCCTCTACGCGCCGCTTTTGCACCAGCGAGTGCACGTCGACCTTGATCTCGTGCCAGAGCCGCTGAGCCTCCACGACGAAGCGGAGGCAGAGCCCGAAGAACGTGACGAGAGTGACATGAAGGCTACCACCAAGTCGGTGCCCATTACGCTCTCGGCGCCAAGTCCGTCGCAGGCCGAGAGCCCGAGCGCCTCGAACGAAGCACGGCTCATCGAGGCGCTCCTCGGCAACAACGACCGGTGCGAACCGAGCCCGGTCTCGGACTTTGCCTCCTTGCACTCGCGTGGTCTCGACCCGACGTCGACGTACGCGCAGGCCAAGCACCGCGACCACCTCCACGACTACATGTACATCCTCTGCTCTAGAACCTCCTCTCCACTACGGCCTGCACTTGTAGCAAAATGTCGCGGCACATGGTGCACAAGGTCAAGTCGGGGCAGAGCCTCGACCGCACGATCGCGCGGCAGCAGACCGAGATGACGTCGGCCAAACACCGGTGGCGTCTCGCATCACCTCGTCCAGCTAACGTGCACGTGGCTAGGTCCTCGATTGCGCTCGCGAATGCGTGCGTCTCGGCCGTCTCGGCGACGCTCAAGTCGGCGCCCCGTAGGAGCGCGCGACCACTTTGACGGGGTTCTTACGAGCGCGTAGGACCGCTGGGGCTCGACATGGCCGTGCAGTTCCTGTCGCCCAACGGCGCTGCGCTCGGCGGCGCCCACGACGACCAGCTCGCGCTGCGTCTCAACACCAAGAAGCATTTCTTCCGCCTGCGCGCCGGGCCTTGGGCTCACGATCCCTGCCTTCCATCGGACCCCGTTGCGATCGAGACATCGGACCAAACGCGCTTCCTTTGCGCACCTGCCAAGCTAGGGTCGGCGGTGCGCCTGCAGCCGCGCGCGTGGAGCCAAGATGCGCCAGGGCTCGTCACGCCCGAGATGTACGCCAACTACAAGTGGGTGCTGCAGCCCGCGCGGCGCAAGCGCGACGCCTCGATCGTCGACAAGATGCTCGTGCTCTTGACCCAAGTCCGCCAGATCGGCGCCAACTCGGTTCTCTACTGCCTCGGCCACGACTTGCACATGCACGCTACCACGGCCACGTATGCGATGGACCACTGCAGCTGGATGCTCCAGCTGCCGACGCGGAGACCGGCGCCGGTGCGCGCGACCAAGACCAAGACGCGCGTGCCACCCGTGATTTACCCGCTCACGCGCCCGCAAAACCGGTACCGGGCGTGGACGGCCACCCACGAGGCTGCTCTCCACGCACAGAGCGCATCGGACGACGCCCGTCTTGAGTTTCAAGCGCAGATGGAGACGACGTTTCGAGACCTCGCGTCCAGCGAGACGACGACGACGACGACGACGACGATCGTCGACGAGGCGACCCCTGCGCTCGCCCCGGCCCGCGCGTACTGCGTGCGTCGCGTGCATAGCAACACGTCGGAGCTCACGGATCCCGAACGACTTCAGCTCTTACAAGTGCACAATCCGAACGTCTACGGCCGCCTCGCGCCGCACCCGGCAACGACAACGAATACGCGGTCACTGCCGCGCAACACCAAGTACCTTCAGTTCCTCATGAGCGGCATGGAACGCATTAGCCAGCTCCGGCCGCAGTCGGCGTCGACGCGCAGCACGTCATCGGTCTCGTCATCGTCTTCGTCGTCGAACGGGATCGTGCCGCGCCCGCGCACGGCGCCGCACAAGCCTCAGCTCAGACTCGGCAAGGTGGCGTCGCAGTGATGGTCCGTCTCGAGGACCTCGAGAAAGTTTGTGCCCAGAAGCAGCGGAAACGGGTGGTTGCCGTCGACCGCGATCGCGTGCAGCGGCGCGTAGAGCTTGAGGAGGCGACGACCAGGCGCCGGCGCCTTCTCGGCCGCGTACACGGCGTCCAAAAACACAGCGGGCGCGAGGCAGAGGCGCGTCGACGACGTCGTCGACGCAAAGTACGCAGCGTCCGAGACGTCGTGCACGAACGACGTGAGCACGACGAAGTTTGCGTGCGACCGCCGACGCAGGACGCAGATCGTGATGAACGGCCGGTGCTGCGGCAGGTCGAGCGCCGGGTTGGCCACTTGCAGCGACGACGCCTACGATCGACATCGTTTGCTCCATAAACAAGAGGATCGTTCATGCGCACTTGACTCGAGTGGAAGAGCGTGCTGTCGCGGTTGAGCTTCCGGGCGGCGCCCAAAACCGCTTGACCGATCGGCCCGACGATGTGGTATTCTTTGCGCCGGGAGGCGTCCTTGCGCTTGAGCACCGACGTGGCTTGCGTTGGCGACAGCAGGAACGACGGCTAGAGCGATACATGATCTCAGGTGCACGGCGTGGAGACGGACCTGGGAATCGAGCGGGATCCCGGCGCCGGAGTCTTCGATTTCCTCGTGGTTGGTGACCACCCGTGGCAGCTATTGAGTGATGAGGCTGTATGCAGCAAAGGGCGAGCGTACGCGTGGCGTCAGCCGCGACGTCGAGGAGCTGGCTTGCGAGGTCGCTTGGGACAGCACGTCGGCCATCGAGCGCTCGTGGTCGACGCTCTCGTAGACTTTTGGCTTCCTACACGCAAGCTAGAACACGATCCCGCAGCATGCACGACGGGATGTTACTTGCTCGTGTCGAGCGTCGGGCGCACCATCGGCTGCTTTCGGACAGGCGGTCGCTTCTTCGCGGCGACCGGCGGCGCGGATGACCACGCGGCAGGACGTTCGGAGGCCGCACCAAACGTGTGACTAAGAAGCGTTTTGGCTGGTGAGACTTGCACGCTAGATGCAACATTGCGCGTGGGTCGGGCTGCCGCTGGGCGCTGGGACACGGGTGCAGGCGGGCGACGGGCCGGTGTTGCAGTGGGCCGCGTGGTGATCGCAGCTGGCTTTGATGGCAGTTGACGCACGGAACGCGGTGCTGCTCCTGTGGAAGGAGCCGTCGAGGTTGTGGCGTTGCTTGTGATGTTGCTTGTGGTGTTACTTGGAGCGTCGCTTGTGGCTACCGCGGGCGCGACAGGTGGTGCTGCAGGGGTATGAAAGGTCAGAATCGAGTCCAGCCCATCGTCTTCGTCGTCGTCGCCGTCGCTACCATGCGCTCCCCGCATGTGTCCTGCATAGACATAGCATGTTGTAGCAGTAGTAGTGTGACTGGGTACGTACGTACCAATGAACTTTGCGAGCAGGCCTTGCTGGCGGATCTGCGCAGCCGCGACTGGAGCGCGCTCTGGTGCTGCGTCGAGCTGCGGCGCTGTCGATACCTCGGACGTCGCTGCAAAGGCCTTGGTCAGCGCGCGGTTCCGGTCAAAGTCCACGTCGTAGACGACCTCGTGCTCTTCCTCCTGCGACTGCATCGGTCGGTCGGCGAAATCCAACTTGTGCGACTAAAGTGGCATTTACGATCGACTAAACTGGATTTTCCCTTTCGACTAAAATGTTTAGTATCCGGATACACCGCAGGAAGACGCCACCGACCGCGCATTTGCACGAGGCCGTCTGCAAGCAATGGCAGCCTCCTCATCTCGTCCCACGGGGCAACTGATTTGCGGTGGTCGCAAGGTCCCACGCTCAGCGCCTAGAGCATTCGTTCAAGCCATTCTCAGTCGGCGTTTAGTCGGAGCCCCACGTAGCAGGTTCTGGCAACGTTCGATTGGCCAAAAAGCGCACGTGGGTTTAGTCGAATGAAAACTGAAGCCAGAATTGAACGAGCCTCGAGGTCGACAACGCAGCACCATGAAGACGCGCATGGCCATCGATGACATCAGCGCCATGGTGGGCTCCATCACCAAGAACGTCGTCAACATGCGCGTGACCAACATCTACGACTCGGAGGTCAACAAGACGTACATCCTCAAGCTGGCGACGCCGGGCCTGCCCAAGGTCTTCCTCCTCCTGCAGTCGGGCGTCCGCTTCCACACGACCGCATACGCGCGCGAGACGGCGAGCGCGCTTCCATTGCAGTTTACCATGAAGCTCCGCAAGCACCTCCGCGGCAAGCGTCTCGCGAGCGTCACGCAGTGCGCGTCGGACCGCGTCATCGACTTTGCATTTGGCGACGGCGACCAGCGCCACCACTTGATCCTCGAGCTCTACGCGGCTGGCAACATCATCTTGACCGACCACAACTACTCGATTCTGTCGCTGCTGCGGTCGCACACGTACGACGAGCAGGTCAAGGTCGCGGTCAAGCAAATCTACCCGATGGAGAACGCGATGGTGGTTGGCAACAGCGCCGCCGCCGTCTTCACGTCGGGCAGCGACCTCCTTGCGTTCATTCGGTCGTACGTGCAGGAGATGGCGACGAAAGAGAAGAGCAAGAAGCAGTACACGCTCAAGCAGATCCTAATGAGCAAGGAGTCGGGCGTCGGCGGCTTTGGCCCGACGATCGTCGAGCACTGCCTCGTCAAGGCCAACCTTGCGCCGAGCCTCAAGGTCAAGACCGCGGCCGCCAACGTCGTCGTGCCGTTGACGCCGGACCAAGCGAACGCGCTTGTCGCGAGCCTCGCCGCGGCCCCGACGCTTCTCGACGAGCTGGCGCAGAACCAGGTGACGCTGCACGGCGAAGGCAGCGACGCCTCGGACGTGAGCGAGCACGGCTTTATCATCCTGAGCCCGACGACCGGAGCCTTTGATGAGTTTACGCCGTACCTCTACGCGCAGCACGAAGGTCGGTCGGTCCAGCGCTTCCGGACCTTTGACATGGCGGTCGACGAGTTCTTCTCCAAGATCGAGGCGCAAATGGCCGAAGCCGAGAAGAAGCAAGCAGCGCTCGCGGCCGAGACCAAGGTCGACAAGCTCAAGAAGCACCAGCAAGACCAGATGGAGGCGTTCCGCAAGACGCAAGAAGAGAGCGTCGTGCAGGCGCAGCTCATCGAGCAGAATCAGCTCGACATTGAGAACGTCTTGCTTGTGCTCCGCAGCGCGCTCGCCAACGGCATGGACTGGAAGGACCTCGAGGACCTCATCAAGCAAGAGCAGAAGAACGGCAACCCGGTCGCATCGCTCATCCACAAGCTCGACCTCGGCCAGAACCGCGTCTCGGTGCTGCTTTGCGACACGGACGCCGACGACGCCGACATGGAGAGCGCGGTCGCCTACTGCGTCCCGATCGATCTGAGTCTCTCGGCGCTCGCGAACGCGCGGGAGCTCTACTCGAAGAAGAAGAAGGCGGTCGTCAAGGCCCAAAAGGCGACCGAAGCGACGGACAAGGCGATCGAGCAAGCCGTCAAGAAGCACGAGAAGAAGCAGCAAGCGCAGAAGCTCCAGCGCAAAACGCTCTACCAGCGCCGGAAGACCATGTGGTTTGAAAGGTTCCACTGGTTCATCACGCGCGAAAAGTACATGGTGCTCGCGGGCAAGGACGCGCAGCAAAACGAGACGCTCGTCAAGAAATACCTGCGCAAGGGCGACCTCTACGTCCACGCCGACCTCCACGGCGCCGGTACCTTACTCCGTGGGTGCGTGGCTTGAAACATTGATATTGTGTAGCCACGTGCATCATTCGCAACCGCAGCGCCGATGCAAACGACCCGATCCCGATCTCGACCATCGAGCAAGCCGGCTGCATGAGCGTCTGCCGCAGCAATGCGTGGGCCAACCAGGTCGTCGCGGGTGCCTACTATGTCCGCGCCGACCAAGTGTCCAAGACGGCCCCCACGGGCGAGTACCTCACGACCGGTAGCTTTATGATCCGCGGCAAGAAGAACTTTATTCCGGCCTCGCGCCTCGAGATGGGCCTCGCGATCGTGTTTCGTATCGACGAGAGCTCGGTCGCGCACCATCTCGAGCTCGAAGCGCTCGAGAACGACGACCTGGACGCTCCCAAGCCGCGTGGTAACAGGAGCCTTCTCGAGTTCGTGGAGGCTGAGGCGCGTGGCGTAGCGGTTGCGATCGTGGACGATGACAAGGCAGCGGCTGCTGAGACAAGCACTGTCGTGGCGCCCAAGCCCACGGCCAAGACCAAGCCCGCCAAGCCGCAGCCCGAGGTCCAGCTGGCACCGGTCGTCGCACCCGACGACGAGCCCAACAGCGATGTCGAGAGCCTCGATGCGAACGACGGCGACGACGGGCCGGGGAAGAAGCGACTGAGCGCCAAGGAGCGCCGCGACCTCAAAAAGGCGCGCAACAAGAAGGACAACGCGGATGCTGCTGAGACCAACGTGGCGCCGCCGCCGGCTCCGACCGAGAAGAAGCCCAAGGGCGCAGCGCCGGCACCGCCCGTGCGCGGGAAGAAGGGCAAGCTCAAGAAGTTGAAAAAGTACGCCGACCAAGACGAGGACGAGCGACTCCTGCGCCTCGCTGCCCTCGGCCACGTCAAGGTCTCGGAGCTCACGACCGAGTCGGTCGAGGAGGTAACCAGAGACCGCATCGCGATATCGCTCACCTAGTACATAGGACGACGAGGCGACAGAGAAGGACGAGGCGGAGAGTTTTGTGGACGTCACGCCGAGCGAAGCCGGCACGAATGCGGTCGACGACGAGAAGGAGGCCATCTACGCGCTCCATCGCGAGCGCAAGGCGCAGCTGCAGGAGCAGGAAGAGGAGGAGGCGCAGAACGCTGCGTTCCTCGACTCGTTCACGGGCACGCCGCTGCCCAACGATCTGCTCTTGTTTGCGATGCCCGTCTGCGCCCCGTACTCGACCCTCGCGCTGTACACGTACAAGGTCAAGCTCACGCCCGGAGCGCAAAAGAAGGGCAAGGCCGTCCAGTTTGCGGTCGACCACTTTCTCAACCTCAAACCCAAAATTTCGTCGGCGATTTTGCCGAAATCGACAGCGCCGGTGACCGAAGACGAAGGTGCCAAGGACGAGGTCGCGCCCGACGTGGACCCGGTCGAGGCGCAGAAGGAGCTCATCAAATGCGTGCCAGAAGCCGACCTCGTCAGCTGCATGGTCGGGCCCGTCAAGGTCTCGGCGCCGGGCCTGAGCACTGCCAAGAAGGGCGGCAACAACAAGCCCAAGAAAGCTCACAAGAACAAGTCGACCTAAAGCTGTACAATGTGTATGTTTCATTCGGTCGACATTGGCCTCTGGTAGATTCCTGCGACTACAGATCGTCGGCGTCGGCGGTCGCAACAGAGTTGTAGTGGGCACCGAGCGTGTAGTAGTGCAGATGGTACCTACAAGAAGGTTGAGCGCGGTGGGTAGGCAGAGACGAAGAGACGCACGAGACACGGAGAGGCGCCGCGCTAAAGTCGTCGCCCATGACGAGGACGTCCGAGCCCGCTGCGTAAACATGAATCGGACGTTGGAGGCTCTGTGCGAGTGCCCGGAGTTCGATCTGGCCGCCCCAGTCGGACGAGTGCTCGACGCGGTGGCAGTAGGCTGCGAATTGATCTAGACAAGAGGCACTAAGATCTGGCATCTGGCATCTGGAATCTGGAATACCTTGGAGCGACTCGTCCGCCTCGTAATTGAGCTCCACAAACGGCATGTAGTCATCGGCGTTGGCACGAAGCGACGCAGCCGTGCGCTGGCGCAGGTACAAGTGCGGCGGCTACGCGCTGCATGACGTATACACCGTCGCAGGATCAAAGTACCAGAGCGCCCGTGGACGGGAGCTGCTCGATGCGCCGCAACTGGTCGGCAACCGCGTGGTACAAGCAATGACCGTCCGACGGGATCTCGTGGATCGTCATGCTGAGCGACTGCAGCTGCAGTGCGATCTGATCGAGCTCAACCTTGCGCTCGCTCACAACGTTCTTGGACTCTTCAGCGATGCGCAGCTGCCGGTCCTTCTCCTCTTGCTTCTTCTTCTCCTGTAGTCGCCACAGTTGAATGCGAGTACGGTAAGTCGACACGTCGTACGCGCTTGCGCTGCGCCTTCTCGAGTTTGGCGTTGGTCGAGGCCGACGTCGGATCGGCGGCCGGCGGCGTTGCATCGACCACCGTCTCGTCGTTGTCATCGTCGTCCTTGGCCTAGATGGCATTGCGCATCGCATGAGACGCCTTGTTGCAGACGAGATGCAGGCACGTACGAAGGCGAGAAGCTCGGCGGCATGGCGCTCCTTCATCTCGTGCTCGAGGCGGACAAGCTCGTCTTCAACGTCCTTCTTGGACTTCTTCTCCTTCTTCCACTTCTTCTGAAGCAGCTTGGTCTGGTTCTGCCACTCCTACACCGCCCGAGCATGATGCTGGGCCATACGTCAATGGGCGCGCACCCGCGCTTCGAGCTTGTGGCGCTGCTTGGCCTGCCCTTCGGTCTCGTTCCTCGACGCCATCGTTTTTGCTGTGGCCTGTTGTCCGGATACGCTGCCGCTGCCGCCAACATCCGGATAACGTGGCGGCAATCAAGCACGCGATGAACCTTGTCGCGGGCTTGCGGCTACCACCGTACAAAGCGCGCATTTGACCTCATGCGCTGTCAATGTGTCGACATGGTCTACCAGTGCTTGGACGCGCTCGAGCACCCGCCGATATGCTACAACCTCGACGCGCGATCGTCAATCCAAGTTGCTTGCGGCGCTGCAAGGGTGCGAGCAGCAACGAGTCGCTGTTGTCGCCATCGTCGTCGAGAAACGAGTACTACTGCATGGAGGTATGTGTTGCATGCAAACGAGTGAATGCGATGATGGATGGGCGCTGCGATGCTACTTTGCTACACGACTAGACTGTGCTACGCTCCTAAACGCCTAAACCAACGCAAGCGAGCGACGTCCGCCGGTAAGGATGGCAGAGCCTGTGGGCCGAATGCTGCGATCTCC